AGTATACAAGCCGGAGAATTCCATGTTCGGGGTCCGCGTTCAACTGTGCCGCCTGACGCGATTCGTTTTCTCCCGCGATCTACTTCTTCTCACCGGTGATCTACTTCGTTCTCCTTGTGATCGACTTAATTCTACGCTCGTGCGCCTGTAACTGATATCCCGTACGTGTAATAAAACTTCTCTTACTTTGGTCTGGCCCGACATCTTCTAGGGGTAATTCGATCTACTGACACACGCGGTACCCAGGTTCAATAACCACACTTTTTCTAATCAAAAACAGTATTCCAAACAATGGTGGAAATGAGAATTAAATAAATAGCCAGAGCACCGACTACCGCTGCGAAGATTCGTTTTTTGCATAGTTCCCAGCAGATTTTTGTCGCCAACGGCATTGTTTTTTCCGGCAAATGCTTCTAGCTAAAAGAATTTGAAACTGGCCGCCAGGACTGCCAGGAACCATTTCTTTAAAACTTCAGCTTTCTAGCTTTCCTGATCCGCGAGTTATTAACTTACCCGCAAAAACAATACTTGGACGGGGAACATCCCCTCAAAATTTCAGTCTTCTAGCTTCTCAGGTTCCCGAGTTCGCAACTTATCAGAAAAAGAGCTGTCATGGGCCCGCACGTAGGCAGCATGCACATCAAGGGGCTAGGTTTGAGCTTGTTAATACTTACATGGATAGGGAGCATTTTGGATTTAAAGTACAATTTTCGTGGATAATTTTTTGGCTTCTGTTTAGTTGCATATGTTATTTTATATGCTATTTTACTAGCTTTTGCAATGTGGAATCATAAAGTGATTGCTGGCCTGGGAATGTGTGTTTGATAGATGAGATTTTGCAAGTTTCCTGTAACAAATGAAGGATCGAAGATTACGGGGAAATGAGCTGGAACTACCGTTGTATTACTTGCAAATTTCCTCTTTTCACTGTTGCGTATTGGAGCGTGCAACCACTATGTGGTTCAGCAGTGTATAATAAGAAGAGGGTAATTGCGCATGCCTTCTGTTGCTTGTTTATCATACTCACTGAGTAGCTTTATTCACATATTTTTGTAAAAGGGTTAATCGACTTTACGTAAAATCAACAAGACCGTAGAACAATTCCTCACGTCCAAACTCAGTTTTTCCAAGGTACGATTTCATTGACAAATTATCCAAATTAACAGGTTTTATAACGACTGAACTACAAAAAGCGGTATGGAAACACTGACGTGTGAAAGTCTCTTCGTGTTTTGGGAAGAAAAAGTACCAGAGTGCACCAAAAAATCGAAATTTTCAGACGTTTAAAATCGGAATAATATTGACGTAGGGCCAAGCACTGCACAAACTTTATGTACGTGGATAATGTGACATATCAATAAATCATCCCTACGAAGCCTCGCTATTACTATGCATCATCTGTTAGTTCACTTTAAAACTCATTTCTGCAATTACTGCATCCAAACAGCTACATGCAATGTTCGGTCCGTTTATTTTAGCATCACCAATTCGTTAACAGTAGTTCAAAAGCTCACTACACTAGGCGAGACTATCGAACATTTATAAACCGCAGACTTCAGCAACTTTTTCACCAGTTTGCCACATTCTTACATTATTGACAACCTGTTCTATCTTATTGACCTTTGCTTCAACAATTCGGGTAAGGAATATGTTAGTTTAGGTAAAACCAAAACCTGGTATGCTAACGAATTTACAAGTAACGTTACATCCTACACCAGGGATGAAGTCAAGGCCATGCTTCGTATCATTCTTGAGGAGACATATGTACGATTTAGTGGCTACATATTCAAGCAAATACAGGGTGTACCAATGGATGGTAATGCTAGCCCGGATATTGCAGATCTCACACTGTCAGTAATGGAGTATCGCTTCCTTCGTAAGAATCTGGGGTTTCATTTCCATCTCTTTCGATATATTGATGATATTTTAGTCGTGAACTGCGCCAATTTTGCTGAAATTGCGAGCAATATCTACGGGCCCAACCTACAACTCAACACCACTTATTCCGGACAACATGCCTGTTTCTTGGACCTCCAAATTCTATGCCAAAATGGCAGATGCATTTTAGCATATACAATAAGACCTTGGACTACCTATTCACAGTTAATTACGGTGATCATCCTGATAGCGATATGGACCTTGCAGTACAAGATGGCGTTATTATATCGCAACTACTCCGATATGTGCGCATTGCTACCCTTCCAGAAGGGCTTCTTGACTGGGCTAGACGCCTCATAAACATTTACAGACAGGAAAAGTTTGATATTGCTAGGGTAGAACGTTGCGTTTTAAGATTTTGCTTTAGGAACCGAACAGTACTGAGCAAATTCATTTACTCTGATGACCTAGGAATTAAAAACCCAGTTAGTGCGATATTCTCATAAAAGCTGTCTCTTCATAACTTCATAAAATTACTATCCTTATCATATGTTAATTTCCTCCTCTTCCTGCTCTCTCACTCCTACTTCTTTCATGATATTAAATAGTTTCTCTCCTTCTTACTCTCTTTATCTTTTCCCTTCACTCATCCTTCTAGCAAATTAGCTACATGTCTTTTCAATATATGGCGGGTAGGGAGCTGTACTGACGATTCCCACTCCTACCCACATGCATAGTCCGGTCTGTGTTCACAACTAAGGGATGAAACACAGACTGCATCGAAAAATATCAGCCCACTACATCTGCAGGATAAAGGCAATTTGCACCATAAAATAACACCTTACACATGGTTTGCGTACAATCTTGTTGGTCTATTATTTCCTCGTTTCACCTTCCTATTCAAATTTAGCTTGTCATTTATGGTCAATGAAGACTAAAACAATGGGCCTGTCTTACTTCGGCTTCTGGAGCAGATTATATCCTAGTGGAAAATATAAAACTGTGACAAATCTCTTTGATGTCTGCACAAATACAGGAAATATTTTTCCAAAATTCCACCTTTCGAGCCCTTCAATTCCGAAAAAAACCCATTGGCGACGCGCACCGGGTGGGCCCGTGTGGTCGTGCGTTTTTGCAACATTTCGTGCTGTAATGAGATCGCTCGGAAACCCAGTAGCTAGAAATGTGTGATACACTGGTCCTCGAAGTCCGGGATGTTAATTGTCTACGCAGTATTTGGACGAGGGTATTTCGTCGAAATTTCAGCTATTCAAATTTTCTGGTTCTTGAGTTAGCAATTTTCCTGCCAAAAATTTTCACGGAGCCGTACATGACAATCACGCATATCCGGGGGCTGAGTTTGATAAATTTAGGTCGTATGGGGTGGGAAATTCCCTGGTAATTCCAGCCTCCTAGCTCTCCTGGTCCCTGTGTTAGCCATTTTCGCGCCAAAAATTTCCACGGGGCCGTACGTGATTACCACTCCTACGAGGGGTTGAATTTGATAATTATAAGTTGTACTTGCGCTTAGAACACTCCCTGGGAATTCCAGCCTCCTAGTTTTCCTGGTTCTCGAGTTAGCTACTTTCGCGCCAAAAATTTTCATGAGGCCAGACGTGAGAACCACGCATGCTCGGGAGCTGAATTTTATAAATTTAATCTGTACACTGTACTAAGAACATTCCCTGAAAATTTCAGCTCCCCGGCTTTCTTGGTTCCCGAGTTAGCGATTTTCGCGCCAGGAACCCTCACGGAGCCATAAGCGGGAACCACGCATATCTGGGGGGTGAATTTGGAATCTTCGAGTTCTGTGTGGACGGGTGACATAACCTCAAAATTTCGGCTTTCTAACTTCTCTAGTTCCCGAGTTAGTGATTTTCCCGCCAAAACATTCATCCCCTCATATGCGGGGCTCAGACTTGCGTGAGGGCTGGTACCGCGGTCCTGGGATGGTACGGCACTTGGCCGGGCAACCCATCGGCAAAATTTTGGCGTCAGAGCTTGCTTTGGTGCCGAGTTAAAATATCCGAACAAACACAAACACACACACACACACACATACCGCGGTTGTCACAATATGCGTTTCTGCATTTGCACATAAGCAAAAACACATAAAAAGAGACAATTACTAAAGCACAGCTCGGCTCGGTCTGGCTCGGCTAGCCTCAGCTTGCCTCAGCAGCTGCACGAGTTGCCGATTTATTGGCAAATGTGCAGTGGGGGAGCGGGCGAGGAGGACAGGGAGGGGAGGAGAGGTATGGAGAGGGGAGGAGGGGCGGGGG